TAAAAGAAAATTCCATTGTTAAACCCCCTAGGCATGTTGTTTTGAATGCTTCTCCTGACTTGAAAACTTATTGGGGATTATGGGAATCTCTAGAAGTCAAAGAAAACATGTTGTATTACAAGTGGAAGTCATTAGATGATAAGGAGTATTTGTTGTTGATTGCTCCTAGACACATAAGGTCTCAGATATTTCATGAGCTGCATGAGAATAAAACTGCTGGTCACTTAGGTAGGGAACGTACCATTAAATCCATAAAGCGTAGGGTATATTGGCCTGGTATGTCTTCAGACATTAAACGTTGGTGTAGAGAGTGTGATGTTTGTGCCCGAGCAAAAGCTGGTCCAGGTCTTGGGAGGTCATCTCTTCATCAATCAGTCATAGGTGCTCCTTTAGATAGGTTAGGAGTTGATATTTTAGGCCCTTTACCCAGAACAAGTAATGGTAATGAATACATCATAGTTCTCTGTGATTATTTTTCTAAGTGGGCTGAAGCTTATCCAGTACCTAATCACACAGCTTTGACAGTAGCAGATAAGATAGTTAATGAATTCATCTGTAGATTTGGTGTCCCTAAACAGATTCACTCAGACCAAGGTCGCGAGTTCGAGTCGGAATTATTTTCTGTCTTATGTGAAAAGTTAGGCATTGAAAAGACACATACTACTCCATATAGGCCACAGTCAGATGGTTTAGTTGAGAGGATGAATAGGACACTTTTGCAAATGTTGTCAGCTTATGCAAATAAAAATAGGGATAATTGGGATGATAATATACCCTTTGTTCTTATGGCATATAGGTCAACCATTCAAGAAAGTTCAGGTTGCTCACCAAATTTAGTCATGTTTGGCCATGAAATTATGAGCCCAGTTGATCTTATGTTAGGGAATCCTCCTTCTTCACCTATCCCCATTTGCCCTGTAGAATATGTAGAGTGGTTAAGAATTGTTTTATCTGATTCTTACAATTTTGTGTCAGAAAATCTTAGACAGGCAGCATCAAAACAGAAAAAGTACTATGATAGGGGATTAAAACCTAGAGAGTTTACAGAAAATGACTTTGTCTGGAGGTGGTATCCACCCTCAGCTGGTGTTAAGTTAGGGTTAGGATGGACAGGGCCATATAAAGTTATCAAGAAGATCACAGATGTAACTTATCAAATTCAAAAAGACAGTAAGAGCCCTCTCATTGTGGTACATGTAGATCAGTTAAAACCCTATGAAGGCATTTTACCTCCTAGAAACTGGACACCAGTAGTTACTTCCCTTGACGAGTCATTAGAACCCCCTGTAGATCATACTCCTGTAGATTATAATGATCAAGAGGAAGTTGAGGAGACTGTTCCTCCTGTTTTTAATTTACCTAGTCCTGAACCCCTTAGACAGTCAAGGTGGGGTAGAACAATCAAACCCCCTGTTATCTACTCTCCTTGAGACCAGGCATGTATCTAGGCATTTTATTTTATTTTTTTTAAATGCCTATGTAAATAGTTATTTTTATTTTTGAATTCTATTTATAACTTGATATATAAAAGGTTTGAGTTGACCTTTTGTAGTGATAACAAGTGATATTTAATTTTTTGAAATATCTCAGTCTAGTTTTAAGAGTAGATCTTAATTACTTTATTAATGAGGTAGTTTTTGGTAGTCATTTATTTTCTTTTGAGAATAACATTCAAGTTAGCACTGATTTTGTCTTTAGTAGATACAAGGTCAATGATAGTTGTTTTATTTATTTAATGAGACACAGTAGTTGGCAATGATTTATAGTTATCTAGAAGTCAAAACAGTATATTTCAGTTCTTTCGGCTTATTCAGTAACAGTAATAATAGATATGAATCATTGAGAGCTTGGTATTCTTAGTTTAATACTGACCGTAGATGATCTTTAAATTATCTCCCTTGTACTGTGCTGAAATCAACACTTAAGTTTTTCTTATAGTTTATCTGTGGGAGGTGATGCATGGTCATCCCTTGTCTAGGTTATGTTATAAGTATTTGGCCACTACTTGATAACATTTTGGTTTAAATTCAGTGGATTCTGAATTTGGTAGATAGCTATATTGATTAACTTTCCATATATTCAGAAATTATTTAAAGTCTTAGAATTTAAGATTTTAATTTTTAAAAGTTATTTTTCATAGAAATAAATTGACATCAAAACTTGCATTGATGGTGATTGATTTGCTTTAATATTTTTCTAATCCTTGTTTTACAATGTTTTCATTTTTCTCAGATGTCAGAAGTTCTTGATTTAAATGTCCCGGATGAGGAGATGGAGGCCCTCTGTGGGGAGGATATGATTCAAAAGGAGTGGCCGTCCGAGGGAGACACGTGCCAAATACAGAACTGTCCTTTGACGAATCATACCTTCCACAAGATTGGATCGTACAGGGCACATTTCATCAAATATCATAAGGCTCGAGTTCCAAAGTACTACTGTTACTCTTCATCATGTTCCTTCTCCTCATTTAAGATGAACATGCTTCGGCGTCACATGCGAGCCAAGCACTCAAGTTTACAAGGATGTTGGAATTCGTCCATTATCGATAACCCTAGATTTGTAAACCCCGGCAGAATTGGGATGCCACTACCCACTATTCACCGGGAGGCACGTGACGTAGCGGCAAGGGCTCGGCAGTGTGCGGTGAAGCCACTCTTTAACCTCCAAGAATGGAATGCTCGGGACCAGAAACCACATTTCTTCTGACATTTCTTTAATTTATTCTGAAACGAAAATTTATTGTGTAAATTTTGTTTTTTTAAGGGGGGAGGAATGTAGTGGTTTAGATTTTTATTTCATAGCCATCGTTTCGTAATTCTTATCTTACAAGTATTTGCTGGTATTTCAGTCTGATAATTCTATTTACCATTTGTTTTCAGTTGTTACTTACGTAAAAGTCCTTTATTATTTGTCTTTTATAAGTTAGGACATGAGTTGACATTCCACATGTTTTACTTTTTAAACAGGAAGTGTCATCCATGTTGGCAGTCTTTCCGTAGTACTTTTGATACCTGCGTTCTGATTGGTTAATTTAGCTTTAGGATCTTTGATAGTCATTGGCTTTTATTTTGGGCCTTGTCAGGGTATTTAAACCCGTGTTCGTGTAGTTTTCTTCACTTGGGTTGGGGAACACAGCCTCATGGTTAGTTCCTCTTTTCTGTGCTAAGAAAACCTTATGGTTTATGAGCACTATTTGATTAGATACTTAGTGGACTAAGAAAACCTTATGGTTTAACAAGTTCTCTAGGTTTTGGCTTAGATTTAGTTTCACGTTTTTCACATGTTAGGAAACAGTTAGGATGTAGGGTATTTGAAGTAAATTTAGTTTCCCCTTTCCAAGTCCTGCCTGGTCTAGGGATATGTAGATAACAGGTTTATTTTCTAGAACCACTATTTATTATTTATTTTTGGGTCTTGTTTATTTTCTGGGTCAGTTATTTTTAGAACCTAGAATTAGTATTGATATTTTCAGATTAACTCTAGTGTGTTGATAGTAGTCATATTGGGTGATGTAGCTCATTCCCTTTTCATTTTTCCATCTCATTGATTTTTTTATAGGATTTTTCACCTTTTTGATAAGTATGGCAGCTCAGTAGGGACATAGATTATTTTTCATAAGTTTGCCACATTCCTCCCATTTTTCATTACATTTTTTCAATTATTTATTCTTTGAGATTATTATCATTGAGATTATAGAGATTCACTTAACAGATTAAATCAATTTTTGATAAAGCTTTATTTATCCTGTGCCATTTTCAAAGACTTTTCTGTTTGTTAAATTTTGATCATTATTTATTATTTGTTATCATTTACAACAGTTAATTCTCACTTTATTAAATTGATAAAACTTACAACTGTGTTTTCATTTAGCGTTGACCATAGTTCAGAAATCCCCTTACCTGGGTTGATCATTGATAACTGGAGATAGTTTACTCCTTTAAGCCAAGTTGGCTGGTGATTTTGGGAATTTATACACTGAAGAGTTCTACTTCCGGTCTACATTTTTTCAAAAATGAACATTTTTACAGTATTCAGGTATTCGAAAAGTAAATAAATCACTAGCCGTAGATTTCAACTTTTCTATTATAGCTTTCACTGAAAGTTTGGGATATTGATTTTTCTAATTCAGTTTGTCCGTCCTTTTGTAAATCAAAATGTCATCTCGTACGCGTGAAACATATTCATACTGTTACTTTGTATGAGTGTAACGTATACATACTGTTAGGCCTAATATTCTGTCTATGTGCAACATTTTAAGATTAGTTTTTCTGTCTGTGAAATTTTCAGACTCTAATTTTTTGGGGGTGTAACATTTTCAGACTTTAATTCCGTCTGTCTATAATGTTTTCAGACTGCTATTTTGTTTGTGTGTATCGTTTTCAGATGTTACTTACTTTGTATAAGTGTGACGTTTTTTTTATTTCTTTCATTTTTTTCATATTTTTTTTCTTAAAGCACGATTTGAAAAATCAATATATTACTTAAGTCAGTAAATAAAAAAAAAGTTCAAGTTTAGCAACTTTATGATATCGAGCTTTTTGAGACATCAAAAATTGTCCTAGGTTTGATGAAAGAAAAATTGGGACTATTTGATTTTGTTTAAAAAAACAAATATTTTGTTATTAAATTTGAAAAACAGTCATATTATACTTTCAGTGTTACTAGTTAAATAATTTTATCAAATAAGTATTTATCTTCAAATTATATTGTGGTAATAATAATTAATTTAAGAATTACAACCTACCACTGCTTAAACTGTATGCAGGGTTATTTTTGCCCCACCCCCACCACACTTCCATGTACTATCTCAATCTCACATAATCGATAAACCCCCCCCCCCCCCCCAAAAAAAAAAAAAAAAAAAACAGAATATTTAGCACGATAAAGACTTTTTAAATCTGTGTTTTTCTTAATCATATTACTAATATGTTCACTTTAAATGAAAATCTGGATCCACCAAGTTAGTTCAAATCGGATAAAATCACGTGATAGTGTCACATGATCAGCATAAAAGTTTTATTTGAGCTAAAATGGCGACCTCGGAAGAGCATGGGAAGCCGCGAGTTCTAATTTTAGGCGGTAAGCTTTTTAGAAAGACATTAACTTCATTTAAGTCTCTACTTATTGTCAAGTTCTGATATGGTTCAAGTAGATTTAATTACATTCTAATTGAACTGTCATAAAAGTTAAAGTTCAATATCCTTATGCTAAAATGTTTCAAGCGGTCGAGACTTAGTGTACGGAAACATTCGCTGTATCACTGCAGTACAAAGTCGTTCAGGAAATCCGGAGCTGTTAAAGTAATGGCGAATTTCTTCAATGTCATTAAAATAGCCTTCGTCTCTCAATCCATCGGAATTAAGGAAGTTATTGTTATATATACAGACAGCAAACCCCACTGTTTACATTTTATTTTACTTTCATTTTGCTAGTGTCGAACAAATAAAAATCAAGATTATCATGATTATGAAGATACATTTCATATCTGAATAGATCTACAGTTCTTAAAATTATCTATCATAAGGAAGAAAAAGACAATTGCTAGAACAATCATAACATGCATAAATAAGGAAATTTAAATTTGTTTTAATATTGTGTACTTTAAACAGACTTGTATTTGTTTATAGCAGGTGTTTAGGAAAACTAAATCACTTTTGTCTGAGCTATTGAATTTTTTTTTTTCTGTAAACATACATATCTATATACATGGCATATCAGAGAAAAAAAGAGAATAATCTGAATTGCAAACTTAATTTTAAAAAGATGGAATGTGCATTCTTATTATTCCCTCGCAATGAAGTTATGGGTTATGTACAGTAATAACACACTTGTGTTGTGTTTGTGTGCATTTGTTCATCATCCTTGTGCAAAACCGAAGTAACATAATTTTCAGTGAGATCAATTGATGTCAAATGCTGTCTTGATTTGTAAGAGTAGGAGAAAATGCGCGGATCCAGGAATTGGAGTTCGAACCCGGGCCCCCTGAAACTCCGGTCAAGGGGCTCTACCAACTGAGCTATCTGGCCACCGGCGATCGAACCCGGCTGACCGCCACAAGAGAAAAAAAAAGAGAATAATCTAAATTGCAAACTTTTAAAAAGATGGAATGTGCATTCTTATTTTTTTTTCTCTCACATTGAAGTTGGGGGTAATGTACAGTAATAATACACTTCAGTGTGTGTTTTGTGCATTTGTTCATCCTTGTGCAAAACAGAAGTCACATAATTTTCATCATGATCAATGTCAAATGCCGCCACTTTGTAGGTGTCCTTTTTAGGGAGGGGATCTGTGCCGCAAAGCAGTGCTTAAATATGTTTATTAAAGTTTGTTTACAAAAAATGGATGACAGCATGTGCATTTACATTTACCACAGAGTGGTGTACATGTATATTTATGATACATTCAATATAAAATGAGATTTATCAGGTATAATGATTAATATTTCCTATCATCTTTGTCATATTGGGCAGTATTTTCCCATGGATGTTTATGATTATATCTATCATGTGAATATTGCCTATGTTTAGCCCCCTTCATCCTTTTTTAGTGAATTAAAAAAAGGGTATTTCTAAATTCTGGAACTTTTTTTTTATTTGTGAGGAGGAGGGTAGAGGGCTTAATTACATGTATTTATTCTCATCAACATAATCAATTTAATTCCATATAATCAGTGAAGAACATTCTAAATTGTAATGTATAATGTATACTTTGATGTGTTTATTTTTTGTTTACTTAGTAGATCACTTTCCCTACTTTTGAATATCAAATTAAATGTATAAATAAATAAAAATGCTTCTTGCACACTGAGTAGGTACATCAAATTTGATCCAAAATAAAAAGTTCCCAAAATCTACATGATCTAATTTAAAGGTTAATCAGGTGTATACTTATATCATATATATACATGTACACAGTGTTTTTGAATTAATCTCATATTGAATTATTTAATAGACTTTTTTTTTCAGTTTATTATAACTGTTTACAGTAAATGTAAAATTGTAACACATACATCAATGTCTCCATCCTTAAATTTTCTTTGAAAATCTCAACTACACAAAAAAATTGAAATTGAACTTTAACAAGTTTAAGAGGATTTCTCTTTTTAACAAGGTTTTAACACAATTTTGCTTAGAGCCCAGTTCTTGACCCACATTCCCAGCATTGTTATGTTAGACAGCTAAAGTATTACTGCCGTTTACTGGTGTGTATCCTTGTGTTAGAGCTGCATTATCAGGCTTAGACAAGTTACATCCATTGTCCGCATAAGATTATGACTGGTGAATGGATACAGACATAGACTACAAATATAAAGGCTTACGTTTAACACGATTTACAGACTGTAAGTGTTTGTAAGTTTGAACTCTTAAACAAGACATATATCTGACATAAGAAAGTAACTCAAAAAAATGAACAAAATGGGAAAGAAACTACCACCCCCCCCCCCCCCTTCCCCAAGGCCACCCTGTCTACTCCGCTGCTCAAAATGTTTTAAATAGAAAAATAAAAGCACAAGTTGTATCATGATAGAATTTTTTTTTTGTTTATAAATTTTACTAAATTTTTGTCTTTTATCATGTGTATGTTCATGATGTTGATTAATCTGTTTATTTATTCATTACTAATGAACACTGTACAAAAAGTATTGCCTTTTCTGCATTAAAATTTGATCACAACAAAAATCTTTTTGTCAGGGCACATTAGAGGTGAGCTTACGTGAAATACTTAATATATTAGGTATTTTTTTTTAAGATAAAATACACTTAAACATTAGTTTCTTGGTAATCTGCTTCACAATGAAAAGGATTAGGCCAAAAAAAATAATAGTCTTGTTTCCTGCTACCAGCCTAAAAAAAATAGGGTAGGTAGGTAGGAAAATTATTTTATTTTTATTTTTTATTTTATTTTTTCCGACGGCATTTTTTGGATATGAACTGAATAGTTACATGATCAAAATTAAACATATCACAAGTCACTCAATATAATCTTTTACAATTAAAATTCATGTCTTGATGCACAACAACTCAAGTGGTATTTTATAATATACAGTACACTGTGTAGAAAGCTCCTTTAGTTTTCTCAGTATTTTTTTTTTTTTCGGTTATGGAACATGAAGGTATTTGTCAAATAGATAACCAAACAAGCATTCCTTTAAAAACTCAGCCAAGGACCATACATGTATGTGTTACAGAAACCATGAACTTTGTCAGATTACACTGTATTTAATTTCTGAGCAGATTAATTTTATCGTTGTTTACTATTTGCATATTTGTTTTATATACGCACTGTCTATAGAGGATTTTCCAACCACGAAACATTCAGTGCATTTATTCTTCGATTCATGATACCTGGCAAAGATATCATTAAAAGTGGTAGTACTCGAAAAAGTTGTTATTACGTTTATTTTTATGTCCTTGTGGCGGCACCGTACCAAAATAACAGAGAGCACATGAGGCTGGCCTGGCCGCCGCCATTTTGTTTTGTATTTATAACACGGGAACCGAAAACGGTGACAGAACGATAAATTCCTGAAATATTTTGTTTTTTTTTCCGAATCGAAAAAAAACTTTAGGGTAGGCCCCCAAAAATAGGGTCGGTCGGGTAGCAGGAAACAAGACTATTTTTTTTTTTGGCCTTAAATGATGCAGTCCATGTGAAAGTGTTTTGGACATTTGGTTCCGTGTTCAATGAACACATAGGACTAAACTAAATTTTGTCAGACCAGAAAACCTTATCATATGTAAAAAAGTGATAATACTGTAAATAGTACATGTGGTTTTTAGTACATATTCGGATTTGTAAGATATGTTTCACTTATTATAATAAAAATATTTGACCGACTTCTCGTTGAAATAGTCATGCACAAAACTGGGCACAGAGATGTTGATATTCAGGTACGGCATCTGACCAGAGACACTGGGGTCAGTAAGGTCAGAAGGTCCTATATGTCTTTCGCATAGACTGATGATGTGTCTGCAATACAGGGCTTGTACATGTAAAGCCACTAATTCTCTTTCATTTATTTTTCAGGGACAGGATTTATCGGTCGTAACCTTGTCACATATCTGGTGGAGAACAACTTGGCTTCCAAGGTGAGCTGATATGTATTAGAGGCTAAAACCTGTCATTGAGAAGTAAGATTTTCTGATTTCTTTTCAAAGAACAGAATACAATGAGTAGTCACCTTATGGATTAGAAAGTTGGCTTTGTTGTTTTTTATCCTTTCACCTGTAATGGTTTGAGCCGTGGATATCATCCTGTGTAGCTCAGTTGGTGGAGCACATGACTGGTGATGCAGGGGTCCTGAGTTTGATTCCAGGTCCAGCCACACATTTTCTCCCTTCCTGTTACACACCTTATAATCCCTATGCTAAAAATTCTTCTTTTCTACTTTGGATGCTAAAGCATTTCTTTTTTATCGTCTTCAATGTACATTGATCGAATAGGGCCCTGTTTATTTTCAAAAACCTTGGTACATGATTTGCATACCCATCATTTTTAGGTCATCTGAGTTTTACTCTGTTCACAAGTGACCTATTGCTATCTAGCTCTTTCACTCCTCGACCTGCGTGGATTTTTTGTGGGTTAACATTTTAAACATTTTCAGATTCTTCTCTGGTATTCAAATATGTTTCAATACAATGAGCCATCAAAGGAAAACATTTGATTTAAATGTAGTTTTCTCCCATAAAACATGAGATCATCATGATAAAAAAATTATCAAGCTAAGTATTATTTTTTCATAACAATTAATTTGTAGGTCAGAGTGGCAGACAAAGTTCCTCCTGTCCTAGCATGGCTGAACCAAAAGCACAAGGTAATATTCCATACGAAATGTGAAAATAACTGGCTGTTAACCGAACACCTATTAAAGCACCTTTTGGTTAGGATATTCAAATTCACATGGAAATTAACGTTAATTTTCTATTGTTAAATTACTCTGTTTGAAACTCAATTCACTTGTTGTCTCCTTTTTCAGGAAATTTTTGAAAATCCAGTGGTGGAATTTAAGCAGTCCAGCCTAATTAGTCCAGGTAGGAGAAAAAATTTTCTACCCTTGAAGTCAATGTAAATACCATGTAAAAATAATTAAATCAAAATTGTATTTTGATTGAAAGAACTAGATTCATTCCCAGCCTTTTAGGCCCTGTGAATTTCTAAAAAATTACTGTTTTCCTTAAAATTTAAGAACATTGCAATTTCATTAAAGCCTGAACTTTTAAGAGAAATATTTTAATCTGGAATTTACTTTGATGTTTGAATTGAGAGAAAATGTATCATTTTATAAATTGTTATATCTACAGGGCCATTTCATGCATAAATCAAACCTAGCCCTTTGTAAGGGTATAATAATCAGAGTGAAAATACAGTTGAACTTCAGTCTCTCAAACACTGATATCGGAAATAACATGGATATGTTGAAGGTATTTGGAAGTTCCAACCATAAACATTTAAGTATATTACTTCGATTTCTCCAAAATTTCTCGAATGCTGGGATATCTCAAAGTTTTTTCTTGGTTCAATAGTGTTTGAGAAATCAAGGTTTGACTGCATTCTGTATTATTTCCTATCTAGCTTGTAACATGAGCTTTGATTGGTTACAAAGTCGGGTGTAAAATTCCGTACACCCGACTTCAGCCGGGGGTAAATAACATAACATCTGGTCGTCACAATGCATAGTTTCTCTATGATAAAAAGGAAATAACATGACGTTCCTATATGCATTGAAGGACATAGTAAATCTTATATTGATAGCTTGATACACAGTTTTATAAAGATTAATTTGGGTACATAGGAAGTAAATTCGTTATCCAGGTCCAATCAAGGGTGTTCCGCCTCGGGGTGTATAGAATAAAACCTGGGGTAAATCCACGTACACCCTTGATTGGACCTGGAGAACTAATATTATCATCCAGACATGGATTTCATATGTAACATATATGAATATGTATATACTAGTGAAACTTGTTTTGTAATGACATGGATATTGCAAATACGGATATAATGAATTAAGGATGTAACAAAGTAATTTCACAGGTCCCAGTTACTTCGTTATAAACGAGTTTTACTGTATATAAAATACTACTATGACAGTTGATATCTGTTTACTTTTGTAGCATCAGTGTCTAGTGCTTTCACTGACCCAGAGGGTGAATACGATTTTGTTATCAACCTTGCCGCAGAAACAAAATACGGACAGACAGATGCAGTAAGTATGACATGATTGCTCACGTTGGATTCATGCCCCTTTCACGCTGAATGTTCTATTAATACTTTAAAATAGGCAGAATTGAAATTTGAATAAGTCTTTTCTATTTTTAACAATTTTTGTTCAATGAAAATTGATGAAATCTTACACAAATATGTCAGATGGGTTAAGAGTAAGACCAAATGATATTGACTCACTTAACACTAAGAGAGTTATTTAGAACTGTATTTTTTGGTGCAGGTGTACCAAGAAGGAATAGTCAACCTGAGTTTGAACTGTGCTAGGGAGGCGGCCAAACATAACCCAAAGGTGTTTGTGGAATTTTCTACGGGACAAGTTTATGCTGCAGACAAGGTTTGTAGTGATCATTTTGTCGTTTCTATGCATTATTTAGGGCTTAAAAGATAATCAAGCAAAAAAAAGGGGTACCTTGTGGAAGTACTGTTAGTTCATGTATCAAATTTTTGCTACCAAATTCTTTGGCCTGTACATTAACGATTTTTTCTGGGTAAAAGTACTAGGTACCAACAGATTTTAATAAGTATGACTATTCTTTCTAAATTTTTAAGTACAGTTGAACTTTGGTATCTTAAACTTCGTATAACATTTAGAAGTCCCAACAGCATATTCTTCAAGTATTTTCCCTTGATATCTCGAATCATCGGATATCTTTTTATATTTTTTTCACAGTCCCATCAGGTCGAGATAACAAATTTTGAATGTAGTTTTCTTTTAAATAAGGTTTGGGTTTAATTGAATTTTTTTACAATAATTAAAAGATAAATTCTCAAGTGAAGAGCCAATTTCTGACCATTTTCCAGAAACCTGCAAAAGAAGACAGCAAGTTGGACCCGTGGACCGTGTTGGCTAAACATAAACTGGAGGTAGAGAAACAGCTGAGAAATATCCCTGGTCTCAACTACCTGGTGGTAAGGCCTGTTATTGTGTATGGCCCGGGGGACAAAATGGGGCTAGGTGAGGATTTTAGTTTATGAGTACTGTAAAACCAACTTTTATACGCTACGACTTTATTTCATGATTTTGCGGGGGTAAACTAGTTCGCAACAATAAATGTTTGCAGAGTTTTTAAGGATCAGTTCGCGGCGAGAAATATTTGTGATGATCAGGCTATCACCAAACTCGCAAAAATTTCTTGCATGCGAATAAAAGTTGGTTTACAGTATCTAGGTGATTGTATACAATAAAACATGCGTAATATATTCAAGTGTCAGGAATGGACAGGTCTGCTTCATTATTATAAATATTATTTGTCATAACAGTATACTTTAAGATAATGATATATTTCATAGTCACAGGAATGAAAAATGGAAAAATCATTTGCTGTGAGCATCATATCATTATCAATGTGTTCACTATAAGCAAGTTTCACTGTATTAAGATAACTGATAAAAAGGAAATAGTAAATTACTAAATATGTGGCACATGTAAATTCATATAATAAAGGCATATGATATAGAAAGTAAAGAGGCAAAGATGAAAGATGGTGATTAATCTGATAAAAAATTCAAACTATGCCAATTCTTGTATAGGTCATGAAAGACAGATACCTTGAAATTTTAGAGGAGGGATCAGCTGTCTAGAGGGAGTAAGCTTCCCTTGTCCACAGGTTGCCTTATTCATTCATTTCTGAACTTTTATCATGTGACATACTTTTTTTTTCAGCCCCTAGGTTAATCATAGGAGCAATATACAAGTACACAAGACAGAAAATGAAGGTAGGTAAAGCAGCTGCCAATTTATAGAATAGTAAAAATGATTTAGGTTCATTATAAAAAGATACTCAGCACGATTTAACAAAGAATCAAAGAAAAAATGGAAGATAATAGGTCCTGGATTTTAAAGTATCGATCCTGTTCTTAAACACTATTGATATCAATGTAACATATGAATTATATCCTCTTCACCAGATGTTATGGACGAAAGATCTACAGATGAACACTGTTCATGTTATTGACGTTTGTCGTGCGGTCTGGCATCTTTGTAACCATGGCAAGAAGGGTGAAGTTTATAACATTGTCGACAACAGTCATACCAGTAAGTCAGCATGTTCATCTCTAATTTTTGTATAAACTGTTTAAATAATATTTCAACATGATACTGTACATCACCAATTTTTGGCGACACCTTATTTTCGCGAGATAGACATTGACTCTTGATTAGCGAGACAAAATGTTCACGAATGGTGGTTAGTGCTCTATATAATCTTAAGGAATACTATTATACACGAGAATTAAATTTTCGCAAGGACACTGTCTCGTGTAATTACGCGAAAATAAAGTTCTCGCGAATAAAAAGTGATTTACAGTAAACCAGTTTTGCTTGAGTCCAGCAATCCTGCACAGATATACAAAGATGGACAGCAATGTTAATTGTAGTGTTGTACTAATAATCGGAAATCATCCATTGTCGATGAAAAAATGCTACTGATTCCGATGATCGATTATTGTTTTTCATAATCGATCATCGGAAATGTACTAATTAATATAATTTATTATGTGTTAATTATCATTTATCAACAAATTATACAAGTACATCTTTTTTCTTGGTTTCTAATTTATATATTAGTTGGAATCTCCAGGTTATGTTAATGCTAACAGTGCGTTGTCAATGATTCATATGGACAGGCATCACACCATTCACCATACTTATGTGTTACATAGCAAACTAGCACAAAGCAGAGGTGATTAAGAACCAAAAGGTGCATTATATAGAAAGTGGAAAAGAAGATAAAAACCAAAGAAAACAATATATTATATATATATATATCCGCGATTAAGAAATAATATGAATTCATTGTTATAGTCTGCTTTTATATACAAAACTATGCCATCTGATTATAATTGGTAAAATCACATTGGAAGCAGTAACCGATTCCAACCGATGATCGATTATGAAAATTAACCGATGTCCCATCACTAGTTAATTGGTACTGGTTTTTGGTGTTCCAGTAAAATGAAGAACCTGAGATGTTTAAACTAATTTTTAATATAACAAAAAGCAATGGAAGATCTGAATTTTAATTCTGTTTCCCGAAAATAGTGTTCAGAAGATGAAGTGTATGGATTTAAGCATCCAGATTAGTGAGACTATACTGTGTATGCTCTAATAATTTAAGACTTCATTGTTTTGTCTTTATTTCTGTAGCACAGGGGAAGGTCAGTGAGCTGGTGTCTGAGATTTACGACATTAAATACGACTTCATGGGGTCAGTGCTCTCCAATATAGCTAGAGTAAGTAATTCAAAGTATATTAAGTACACCCCCACTCACACACACAACAAGTACGTACTCCAACCAACCGTACCAAAAAAAATAATTATTATGTCACACACATTTTGGATTTGCAAAACTATTTTCTTTGCATTTTTTTATCTATGTCATTTTTCAAACTGTTATTAAATATTTTGTCATTACAGATATATATTTTATTTGTGTTTTTGAACAGAGGCTTTTAGCCCTGTTAGTTATATATCTTTTGTAGGTTACATGTAAATATCAAGGTTTTATTCATCAGGTCAATAACACATCTGTAATGAACATATTTTTTTTTCTATTCTTTGTTTCTTTGTTGTTGTTTAGTTATAGCTCCATAGTTTTATATTCTTTTTCCATTAAGTAAAGTGGTAGCACTAATCAGGTCACTTTTATTAAATAGGTCAACATGACATCCGTCGTAGAGGATATTAACGATCGGCACGTACAGCCCTGGGCTGACGCTTGTGAGAGGGATGGTATAGTAAACACGCCGTTAAATCCCTTTATAGACCAGGTAATTAAACACAGTGTTAATTGCTAATTAACAAGAAGGTATCGTTAACACACCACTAAATCCCTTCATAGACCAGGAAATTATACACAGTGTTAATTGCTAATTGATAAAATGGTATCTTAAACACACCATTAGATCCTTTTATAGAATTGGTAATTAAATGGAGTGATGAATGCTAATTAATTATTTATTGCAAATTAATAAAAATTAGATAGTAAAACCACGGTTAAATTCTTTCATTAAATACACATTAAATTGCTCATTTATAAATAATTGGCTGTTCATAATTCTGGTATAATTGATTAGTAGTTGCTTATTAATAAGAGATTACTAACAGCCTGGAAATCCTGGGGAAAAAACCAATAATTTATGTCTAATTTGTGCACACTGAATGCAATTTTAACTTTTAGTCTGTGTGTGGTGTAACAGATGAAAACTTAATTTGTACTGCATACATAGGAAATGAATATACCTGAATAAATGTATTCCATTTAATATACATCTTTAAAAAAAAAAAACAGCTAAAAGTTCAATCCAAAGTTCATTGCAAATTTGCAACTGCATTGTTTATTTCTGGTTTAGAAATTGATTTTGTAAATCCTTAAACTTCATGACAAATATTTATAATTTATTGAGTACTAAAACCTCTTTTTAATGTTCGATTTTTATTTATTATTTTTTTTTTTTGTTAACAGGAGCTTTTATACAACAAGAATTTAGCCATGAGCAGTTCTAAATTAACAGCCACTGGATTTACCTATAGTATACCAGAGCTAAAAATAGAAAGTCTCAAAGAAGTAAGATCTTTTTAATAATATACTGAAAGGAAAAAGAAACGAAGGGTACAGTAAATTTTGAGGTGAATTAAATTTGTTTTTCTTTCAGTTTTATTCAGTATTCCTATCTAACTTTTAAAGTCATCTTTCAAAAAGATATAACCAAAATCCCATTTGATTTTTTCAAATAATTCATGAGTTATAGAAGCTCACACGACGATACCCCCCAAAAGTGAAAATCGAAAACTCTCATTATCTGCAGTGTCTCTCCTGCACATCTGTCATGAGCGTTTTTTCTCCTTTGCATGGAATTCATTAAATGGAGTATCTTTCAAACCCTGGCTGTATTGGACATGGGTAAATACGCCAAAAAATTAGTCATGCGTGCATGCGCCAGTGAAATGAACGCAACAGTAAGTTGACTGGGTCAGAAAACCAAATTGCAGAATTGTTTTCTTTCATTTTTCGTGTGGATGTAATGATTACAATAGTCTGCTGTATAAAAGACGGTTTTTGTTGTAGTAGGGTTACGATTTAAGAGACGACAGGATGAATAACCCGCTCGTTACATGATTCTGTGTCGCGTTAATGTCATCGACAGGGTTGATTGAAAACCCTCCCAGGCCCTCTGTGACAACGGGTAACAAGTTTTATGGGGGAAAATTTACAGGAAACTGCGTAGTTACCCATTGTTGCCTTTTTCATCAATTAGGCAATTCGAAAATCAGACCCCATGGAACTTCCGTAAACTGTACCAAGATTGCAAAAGAATCATATCGTCTCTAAACATTGAAATACAATGTGTATAGCTCAGGTGCATCAAATGGTGCAACAAGATTTGTTGACAAACTCGTCGTCATCAAATTGCACATGTTTTTGGTTTTTTAGCGTTTTCCTTACATGACGTCATACATTTTACGGTTGAGTAATTCTGAACACCGATTTTGGTGCATAGAGACTTAATTTCTCATCTGACCAATTTTCGTAATTTTCGCTAATGCGGTCAAATTTTTTTCGAATATTATGCTACCCTGCGTTTCTTTTTCCTTTCAGTATAGAAAAACTCTGTTGAAATTAACTTGCAATGGATATAGGGAAATTTCAGTTATAAGCAAGTTATAGCTGTATCTTTCGTCATATAACACTTTCGTATAATTTATATGGATGTGAAGAATTAGGTTACATTAAACTTGAAAATTAATGTATATGTAGAACTTCTTTTTGTAGCAAGTTAAATAGTATTTTAGTAAATTAGTACATGTAATTTGATTGGAAAAAACAACAGAATGTTTGTTTTACTTCTTTCTTACAGATTTTAGATGATTATATAAAATCTGGACTTTTCCCTCGTTCATTACTTTCTGCTGAAATGCTATGGAACGGTAATGATATAGATGAAACAGAGGAAATTCTGCCAGAACAGAATGAACCAGAGGAAATTCTGTCTGAACAGAATGAAGTACAGGACTCCTAGCATTATTTTTAAATTTCAGTATTTGCTAACATATATATTTTTAACATTCCAAAGTTTATAGAGTTATAAACATGTACTACGTTAATCTCGTTGTTTTTGAGTGTGTCTGTATGAAGATTGCAAGAATCTTGATATTGTTTGCCTGAGGAATATTTTGGAGATCAAGTATTTGATTTTGTATGTTTTTGGGAAATATGTCTGTTTTCCTTTAATATTAAGTAAGATATTCCTGTAATTGTTATCTTCAGAAAAATTCCTTTTTTTGCTATATTTTGATTCTAATCAGAGATATCTTTGACTCTTTATTTTATGTGCATACAAGTATAAGAATCCATCACTTATTGCCAAAGATTTTGCTAAGTTGTATATCGTTGTATACACTCCAACCTCTTTGTATAACAGAGGAAACATGATTAAATATTTGCTCAAATATTCACTTTTATAATGTATACACAAAACCCCCCACAAAATCATTTTGATATACATTTGTACATTAATGCTGGCATATGTCATTATTACATGTATATTTTAAGTGCTTTTATGCTCCTGAATATATGTGCTGTAAATCATTTTTTCCCTTGAATTTTTCTACATGATATCATTGTTTTTATCAACTGAACATGGTATCTCATTGTTTTTATCAGCTGAACATGCCTTTTGTTTATTGTTATGCAACGTAAAATGTGATCTTGTTATAAAATTTAATAATTCCCTCATATTGGAGATTTAATGGCTCATTTTATAGTTGAATAACCATGTTCATTTGCTTCTGTTAACCTGTCTAATTTACTGAATAATCTGTGATGTCATTTCCTGCCTTGTATCAAAATATATCCAAATTAAGCTAGCAATTTTGGCGCCTTCATAGATATTAAGATGAATGTTTCATATCATGTTTCTTACCTCTGTTTTTGCTTGAATGGATAATGAAAAGCTAATTTCTATATCAAGGTCATTTCTAAGATACTTTTCAGATTTATCAGTTCCATTTTGAGAACAATAGTAATATTTGATCCTTGATGCAATTTCATTCAGTTTGTTGTGTTAAAGGGAAAGGGCTGATAGAAATGATTTGTTTTTTTTTTTATGTGTGATGTGTCTTTCTTGCATTTAAATTTTATGTTAATACAGAGAATACATGTACAGTATTATTTAAGTATGTTTGTGTAAATATCCAAATTACAATACTTCCAGCTATTACTGATCAAGGCTTATTTAATTTTCTTTTCAAAACAAATTCTTTTTTTGTGGAATATTTATCTCAATTTCAGGTATCTATTCTCATATAGGCTCATGGAATATGTTCAGTCAAACTCAATACTAGTATTTCGAACACAGTGGGGGGAAAAATGTAGGTATTGAATTAAAAACCAACGCAAAAAACAGAATTATTACATTCAAATTCTTGTATTTTATCAATAGTATTCGAAAATTATGAAGTTTGAGATATTGAAGCTAAATTGTACACTATATGTTATTATGAAATTGTACATGTTTTTAACATGTATTTTATATATCATGCATTTTAATTATAAAGCAATGTGTTCACTAGATTATATTATATATATTTCATAATTTTCAATCCTTTAGTCATATTTTATAATGTACTTTATCTGTAGGTTTTTTGTAGTTTCTTTATATTTGTGTTGAAAAAGAGAGCTTTATGATATGTTTTCAAAAGTTGCTTTACATACAAATCTATCTCTTGTTCTCTCATTTGCTTTTTTTTTATATTGAGAGATTTGGGTGAATATTTTACAAATAACAATGACAGAAGCATTTTCAAAAGCTGAAATACCCTTGGCTATTATGGCGTTGCAATAGTAGCCAATACCTAAATACTATTTTCAAATAGTAAACAAAATTAAATGTGAAAGTAAGTTGTCCTTAAGGAAGTGCATTCAATTTTATGAAGTCCAACATAGATACTTGTCCAGTGAAAATGATGAAACATTTGTTTTGATGATGCCAAAGTTTATTGTCATCCAAATTGTATGGAACATATAATGTTTTTCAGAGTTGATAGGTTGAGGAGGTTTTGGGTGGGATGGGGTTAGGTTGAGGCGGGGACGGTTTGTTTGGTGTTTGTACTGCAACTTCAGTTCTTTGCAGAGCATAACTTGATCCTGTTTAAGCAGTCTTCAGACCTTAAGCTTTAAGAAATTTTCTTTTTTTAATTTAAATCTCCAAGATATGATTACCTTACTTATTTTTCTTTGCATATCATTTCCAGCTTCTGTAAGATGCTGTTTTGATTTTTACATTTGTTATTTTTCAAGCATTGAATGTCGCTGAATATTATTTGTTATATATATGCAACACAAAACCAAAAAATAAAATTTTATTTACAATGAGATTTTTTTTTTTGTTCTGTTTTGAGATTAATGATACAGGTTATGAAATGATTAATTTTCATGCTTTTCATCCTATATTTTCATTATTCCTTAAATTCAGAAATACGTCTAATACTTAAAAAAATAAGCGCTTTTATCGTGGAATTTTTGAAAAGTGTTTTGAAATTATGTTGAGTGATGTAACACGCAGGATGTCTCAAAGTTTACAAAACATTGGATATATATCCTTGAATTAATGTTGATATGGAACACGCCCGCACCTGCGATGACATCTTTGAGAAATATGTCTTGCAACCTAAAAATGATAAGAATACTACAAAACCTGTCTTTTTTTCCCCGAATGAAAAATGCTATAATCATAATCATGAAAGGAAAACGCCATTCACTGTGCAAGGTTACTAAATACTGTTTTTCTTCAGAGGGAGGATACGAGATATGCATGTCATCACGTTTGAATGCATTTATTGAAATGATTGATTACATAACCTTTTTTTTCCCTGTGCACGTTTTTCCTTAAGCAATGAACCATTTCTGATTACAAATGCATGGTATCCAAAATATCTCCAAACACAACATATAAAATCTGAATTTTAGCAGATGATTTCAATGTTCTTTATCCCTTAATGATTAAAGTGGTTTTAGAAAAATGAAAGCTATGCTTTTGATATACCTACTTTTGTGTATTTATGAGAGTTTTGGGCATGCGACTTTTCGTGAAAATGACGAGACGAAGAAAACGGCCCTGTTGCCAAGCACGACCTCTGGGAAGCAATTAAAAATTATACGGGATATATTAAATCAAGAAAGTTTAGCGCGATTCTCTATGATACAGAAAATTGAGACCTTGGTGATGGATGCAATTGATAGCAAAAACTTTAGCCAGGCCCTTGAGAAAAGGCTAAGCGAAGTTGTAAAGGAATTAGGTGATTTGAAAATAAATGACGACATATTAAATGAAGAGAACACAAAGCTCAAAGATGAAATAAAGGATCTTTATTTGATACTCAATAATTATACAACCGTCGAAAGTGCAAATGTTGAAAGCCTTAATGATTCGGAAATTTTATATCTGATGAGGAAAACTTTATTTGTGGAAAATCAAATTCAAACGCTATCGTTACAGAATTTGGATATAAATAAACAGTTAGTATTTTTGATGAAGAGAGATCTGAACTCTCTTAAAAATGAAACAATCGGTCTAAATGAGAAATATGACAAAATGCTGCAAGAGAACTATGCTTTTCAAAATCAAAGTACATGTATAATGAATGGAAGAAAATCTACCCGTTTAATCGAGCGTCTTTTGTCGATGGAAAACGGTTTGCAGACTCTTTTGGAGTCTTTTAATAAAACAATGGAAAATTATCATCCAAAGGCAACAGATGTTAAAGGTAAGTTAGTTGCCTTCTTACTTTGACAAATACGTCATTCACTTGTTATTTCATCTTTACGTTCAAAGTTATCGTTTCATAGATAACTTACATGTAACTTCTGTTATAAAAGGCAATCATTTAATATTTGTATTGTGCGAAAGTCTGCTTTATGTATTTTTGTTTATAAAAAATATAATTCTGCGTTAAGTTTAATAAAGTGAATTGCGACTTTAATGATAAGATAAACTTGGGATAATTTTAAGTAAAATGTTTTGTTTCGTCATGCATACTTTTTTTTTCTTTTTCGTTGCTCAATTACTTACTGCCACTATTTGAAGAATTTATCTTTGACTAAATTACTGAATTGTCTTACTTATATTTACATGTGTTAAAGCGAACGATTTCCGTGCTACAAATTGTGAAAAGGGTTGGGTCCAGTTTGAGGAAAACTGCTACCTTTTCTTAAGGATGGAATACAATTTTAAAGATGCGGTGGTAAGTGGATCCACAGACAGAAAATATGCACTTGATAGAATATTGAATTTCCAATAACTTTTTAATGCTACAGAAATATCTCATTATTTTGAGGGGGTTTCGAATTGTTTTATTTTTTAAATCTATTTTAACAGGATTATTGTAACAGAGCCGCAACTGGTGCTCACCTCCTTGAAATTAAATCTTCACATGTAGAAAAGTGGATTAATCTTCAGCTTACGATACGAGGTACATTTGCTAAAAAGAATTTTTTTTATCAGCTAGATAAATAAATATTTCAGTGATTTTTTTTAAACAGTTTTTTTTAACAGGTCATCAATATGCCTGGATTGGATTGACAGATATACTAAGTGAAGGTAGCTTTGTCTTTATCTCGACTGGAAGTAAACCAACTTACACAAATTGGCACAAGAACGAACCTAACAATTCATGGAAGATTGAACACTGTGCTGAAAAGAAGGGTACAGGGTTGAAATGGAACGATGAACGTTGTGACAGTGCACGTCCCTTTGTTTGTATGCTGAGTCTTTAAAAAGATTACCTTCTACCGTAAAAATTCACTTTCTGTTGAGATGTGTTCTATACACAAAAAGGGAAATGTGAAGCATCAAAATCCATAGCTTTAATAGCATATTAAAGTGTACATGTATATATTGCTACTGATACCAAATCGCAATCGATATCATTGTAAGAAATGACTTACCTTTATCATTGCAGAGTAAGCTTGTTAAAAAGTGTCTTCATTAAACAAAAGAACAGGTGATTTTTTTTTTACTTTTCTCCAAATGCTATATATTCAAATTCAATATAAAAAAGCATCATTATAACTCTTATGGCACTAGGAGTCCTTTTGGATATTTTCTTGTCTTTGCCAAGAACTTCCAATTCATATAAGAAATAAAGGGACAGTTTTAAATATCTTAGGAGAAATGTGTATTCTGCAATTTTGAGAAGAATAAAAATTAGATACAGAAGAACATGTAACGTACTTAAATATTTTTCTTTATTTTATGAATGGTATATGTGCGTAGCGCATTTGAAATAAAAAAAACATATTTCTACTCTTCAAAAATATTACCTGGGAGGCAAATGATTTGCTTTGAAATTTAAATTTTAATTCAACATTACTTTGGTTAAATCCACTGAAACAGAATAAAAAAACCATGGTGACAACACACCTTAAAAAAATTACGCACTTTAAAAAGTAATTTCAAATTGCATTACAATTGTGACAGAATCAAGGCACTTTGGAAAAAAAAATATAAAGTGTGTTAAATTTTGGTACGAAATCAGCAAACTGTGGAAAAAAATCAAAGTACGATAAGAGTGTATATCAGCATTTTATTTTTTACAATGGAGATAATTAAGGCACATTAAAGGCTGAGACAGCATTATTTTGTTATATTTCTTTTGAAAACTAGAACGAGGATATGGCGGGTACATTCAGAAGAATCCTCAACACAACTCTTTATCTTTTCTATCCAAGTATTTGTATTCACGTATGTATGAAATCAATTAAGTTACATGATTAGAAGAAATCTGAGTGCATAACATTTGTTTATAAAATTTTTTGAGAAATTATTATGGATTGAGGTAAAAAATTCAGTTGAAAAAGTAATGTGCCGAAGGGTTATTCTTCTTGCTTGAAATAAACGAGTCAGCCTTTGTTTAATATCTATTCACAATAGTTAGAAAGATGAATATGAAAGATTGATAGATGGATATATTAGAAAGAAAGAGAGAGGGAGAAAAATAGAAGTGTGATGGTGTGGAAAATCATCTCTTTCTCATAAAAGTTGTATAAGAGACAAAAACAATTTTTTTAGCTTCAAACTTGAACTTGAGGTACTTTAACGGAAAGGAATGGTTAGAATACACATATTAAAACAAATATTGTGTTTTTGGCAAAGATACCTGCACATACATTTATGCATCTTTTAAATTGTGAGATAGGATAGTCCTGCTGATTCTAAAAAGAAATTTAAAAATTACGAACTTAATACACAGAAAGCGCAATCGTCTGATTTGAATGACATCAGAGTGAAGATAACACACAGCGATTAATATCGTAAACCATTCAACAGAACGAGCCCTGGATAGAGTAAAAACAGGGACATCTTTAAACACGAGAGGTGGAATCAGGTATCAAGGAGGAGTAAGCATCCCCTACTGAGAAACCAACATCCATTGCGAGCTTAAGGTATTGATCAGGTATACGGGATACTCCTTAGTCAGATAGTTGATTTCCAAGGTAATAACAGTGTTACCTATCATAATTTTGCAAACACTCTGTCTGGGAGGTGTTCTTTTACTAGTCTCTTAAACCTAAACCCCGCTATAAGCGTTTAATATGCCGTAATCGCACAATTTATTAATATACATAGATTTTCTCCATTGACAGCTTTGGAGGAGGTTTAGGAGCTGCTTTTCTGTTTCGCCTTATCTGATTGGTTAATTGTAATACAGTTTAAATATCTAACCAATCAGATAAGGCGAAACAGAAAAGCAGCTCCAAAACCTCCTCCAACGCTGCCAATGGAGAACATTTTATGTATCCGATTAATAAATCGTCCTATTACGGCATATCAGAGACATATGGCGGGGCTTAGGTTTAAGAGACTAGTAAAAGAACATCTCCCAGACAGAGTGTTTGCAAAATTATGATAGGTAACACTGTTATTACCTTGGAAATCTGTCTCGAAGTGGGGAACCCCCGTTTGTTTACAACTTTTGTTTCTTACCTTGTGTATTTTTATTATACCGAATAGGGCCATTCTTTAAACGTGAGAAAAAGTACAATCTGATTGCATATAACGATATATAGATGTGTTTGACGGGGAAATTTTATATTTTCGAGGTATTATACACTCTTACATTTTTTTCATTAAAAAAAAGGGGGGGGGGTATTATCGATCCATACTTCAGGTGCCTGTGGTACAACCTCCAGCAAACAATTAAAGGTTATACGGGATATCTTAAATCAAGAAAGTTTAGCGCAATTCTCTATGATACAGAAAATTGAGACCTTGGTGATGGATGCAATTGATAGCAAAAACCTTAGCCAGACCCTTGAGAAAAGACTTAGTGATGTCTTGAAGGAATTAGGTGACCTGAAAATGAATGACGATATATTACAGGAAGAGAATACAAAACTCAAAGATGAAATAAAGGATTTTTATTTGATACTCCATAATTTTACAACCATCGAAAATTCAGACGTTCAAAGCCTTAATGATTCGGAAATTTGATATCTGAAGAGGAAAACTTTATTTGTGGAAAATCAAATTCAAACGCTATCGTTACAGAATCTGGATATAAATAAACAGTTAGTATTTTTGTTGAAAAGAGATCTGAACTCTCTTAAAAATGAAACAATCGGTCTAAATGAAAAATATGAAAAATGCTGCAAGAAAACTATGCTTTTCAAAATCAAAGTACAATGAATGGAAGAAAATCCACCCTTGTAATCGAGCGTCTTTTGTCGATGGAAAACGGTTTGCGGACTTTTTTGAAGTCTTTTAATAAACAATGGAAAATAATCATCAAACGGCAACAGATGTTAAAGGTAAGTTAGTTGTCTTCTAACTTTGACAAATACGTCATTCACTTGTTATTTCATCTTTACGTTCAAATTTATTGTTTCGTAGATAATTTACATGTAACTTCTTTAGTAAGAGGCAATCATTTAACATTGGTATTGTGCGAAAGTCGGCTTAACTTAATTCTGTTGATTAAAAATGATTCTGCCTAAAGTTTAATAAAGTGAATTGCGACTTTAATGATAAGATAAACTCAGGATAATTTTAAAGCGAAATTTTCCGTTTTGTAATGCACAAACTTTTTTTTCTCGTTACTCAATTATAATTACTTAGTGTTTCCATTTGAAGAATCTTTGAATAAATTACTGAATTGTTATTTATATTAACATGTCTTACAGCGAACTATTTCCGTGCTATAAGATGTGTAAAGGGTTGGGTCCAGTTTGAGGAAAACTGCTACCTTTTTTTAAAGGATGGAATACAATTTTAAAGATGCGATGGTAAGCTGATCCTCAGAGAAAAAATATGCACTTGATAGAATATTGATCGAATTTCCAATAACTTTTTAATGTTACAGAAATATCTCATTATTTTTGGGGGGTATCGATTTGTTTTTCTTTTAATAAATTTTTACAGGATTATTGTAACAGAGCCGCAGCTGGTGCTCATCTTCTTGAAATAAAAAGTTCACATGTGGAAAAATGGATTAATCTGCAGCTTACGATACGAGGTACATTTTTGCTATAAAATGAACTTTTTTATCAGGTATATAAAAAAATATTTCAGTGATTTTTTTTCAAGTTTCTATATATTTTAAGGTTTTCAATATGTGTGGATTGGATTGACAGATATACTCAGTGAAGGTAGCTTTGTCCTTATCTCGACAGGAAGTAAACCATCATACACGAATTGGCACAGCAACGAACCCAGCAATGGTGGGAATGTAGAACATTGTGCGTTGAAGTATAGTACAGGGTTGAAATGGAACGATAAACGCTGTGATGTAAAACGTCCCTTTGTTTGTGAGCTGGGTCCTTATAAACATTACCTTCTACCTTATCAATATGTTTTCTATTGAGATGTGTTCTATACTCAAAAGGACAAATGCGAAGCATCGAAATTCAAAGCATTAATTGCATATTAATTTGTACATATATTACAACTTACAAGAAATGCAAACAGTATCATTGTAGAAAATTACCTACCTTTATCATTGCAGAATAAGCTTTTCAAATATTGTCTTGATTAAACAAAGGAACAGATGAGTGTTTTATTTTTTTCAAATACTAAACGGGGGTTGTTCGGAAAATTCGTGGACTAATGTCATATAATTTAAACCGATTTTAAAGATACATCAATGAATTTTTCAACATTCAATAAGCATCATCATTTTTATTTATATAATAAATTATACATCTGTTTGTAAATTTTATTTTTTGATAAATTGTTGATAATTTTGACAGCAATGGTATGTCCGGGCGGCACAATCTCGTAGATTGCGTTTATCTACTTAAGTGTGAAGGATGTGGAGATAACGAACAATATTCAGTCTCAAAGTCCGTAAAACAAGACAAAATAAGAGCAGAGCAAACACGGACCCCCGAAACATCAGAGGCGGTATCAGGTGCCATGGAGGAGTGAGCATCCCCTGCCGACCGGTCACACCCGCCGTGTGCTCCTTGTCATGATCAGGAAATAACGGAAAAAATCCGTCGTTAATTCAGTGTATAAATAATGGACTAACAATTGGTATGAAAAACGTCAGTCAGCATTTGACTTAATGATAAATTGTATTTGCTGACAAGGTCATTGTATCGACCATAGAGCTTACGAAATGACGACTTTAAACGAGAATGCTGATATTCTTTTTTCACCAACTTGCTTGTCAATAATTTACCTCGTTTTAGAAATTGTTCATACGAAGAGCATGCTCTTGCGTATCGAATCAACTGAGATATATATACTCCGTATGCAGGTGATGAAGGTATATTGTTGCATAAGTAAGGGAAGTTGACGATAGAAAAGTCATCATGTGACTGAGAAAAAAACTTTTTTATATGAGTATTTGTCATCCAAAATTCCATTGATTCAGTCATGCAGTACATAGTATGACACAATTGTACCTTAAAATTTGCAATTTTTAACCCCATTTTGTAATTAAGTTCTTTGAAATTTTATCATATTTTTTTTATGAAATGTCCAAGCAATTAAGGATGTACAACACACCTACCCCAAAAAATTCCTGTCGTTTAATTTTCGTTATTTTTGTATATTTAATACATGACGATATCTACTGCATGTATGCACATTTTGGACAAAATCGTTCTAGAGGATTAGACAGGAACTTCCAAAATTTACCCCCCTTTACTTGTTTACAAGGAGAGAAAATTTTTAATCAATGAACTACTTAAACCTTGATTTTCAAAAAAGCCAGATTAAATATAAATGT